TTTTGACATAATTGAGTACTTAATTTTAGGATACGGAATTCTCTTCATCTGCCCAGTGAATGTTTCAAAAGCCTTTGCCAGTTTAAAATTATCTAACAATCAAGAAACACTCAAATCAAGAAATAGAAAATCTGTCGGTGACAGTTTAAAACTTTCTAATGATCACGAAATAGTTACATGTATTAATTTTGCTATTCCAGTAGTTTGTCACCCTTCCTCGTATTATTATGTTCACATTCCTCTAATATTTAAGGAATTTATTTACGTGTACAACGCGAATAACTATCCAGTTTAAACCATCCAGTTTGACTCACAAAGTCTTCAATGAAAGCGCCCCCCTTTTATGCAGATAGGCCTCCAGTTTATTGTTACAATCCAAGGAATCCAATCGAGTTCACCTTCGCTGTGTCACTTCGTATCATATAAAAGACTGGACATCAACCATACTTTCAGTACTGAGTGAATAATCAAATGAATCACTCAGTTCTCTTTCTTCACAATTCTAACACTCAGGTCCCATTGACTCAGGTCCCATTGATTATTTGTTCTGAATTAGTCTTGGTACGTTTAGTACTGCTAATTAAGTACATTAACTCAACTGAAACTATCATAGATAATAGCTCTAATTTGGGATCTTCATCAAGCACTTTCAATGAATCTACTGGATCTACAAGTTGAGGGTGGGATTAAAGCTTTTACTTTTAAAGGATAGTTTGATCAGTAGTCAGAAAATTTCAAATAGCACTCCTCCACAGAAGAGTGGGACTTTTTATTCTCAGGAAACGAGAACAGTTCCAGTCCTGTTTGCATTGTATGTGAGGAGGTTTTACTAAATATAAATATGAAACATTAGTTACTATTGTGTTATTTAAAAGTAAAACATCCCAAATACACACAGAAAAAATTAAACATTTCTCAGTGACAATCTGAAGGTTTTTATGAAAGATTTCTATTATCAGCTAACTCAGACAATGAAAATATGTTTGAAGTGTCTTACAAGATAAGTAAAATTACTGAAAGAAGATTACTGAAAGTGATAATTCAACACAATTGCTGAGAATTGAAATTGATACATCCTTATGTTAAAGACGATGCTAAATGTGTCTGTGGAGAAGAACATTTTGAAAAATTAACAACTTTCCTTTCCCAAACAATACATTTTATAAAAGGATCAAGAACTTCCAAAGAACGTCGAATTAGCAGCATCTAAAAGACTAAAAAGTAGTCCATCTTTATGTATTCCAATTTGATAAGAGTACGATGTATTGAACCTTTTAATCTTGCTTTTTATATAAATGGTGAATTTTTTGAGGAAAATCTTGTATTCTGCTATCCATTCACAGAAAGATATAAATGAAAAAATATTTTAATGCTATTAATGATTATTATTTTTGAAACAAACTTTGATTAGGTCAAGTGCTATGATATTTGCACAGAAGACGGTAAATCCATAGCAGGACGGTACACAGGTTAACGAAGTGCGTCAAAAAAGTCGCACGGTCATTGTTGCATCCAAAGCTAAAACTTAACTTCCAGTCATTTGCTTAAATCCAGTTAGCAAAGCCCAGACTGCTTAAAGTATTATACATGTGATGGATATCTCACTTTTTATATTATATTTGCGTATGAAAGCAAACTAGCGTTTGGAGAGAGAAATTAAGATTGTTCCAGTTAAGACCCAAGGTTCCAACATTCTTTCAAGGTTCAAGGTTCAACAATTTCATTTTTTTCTGAATATCATCTGTTTTATTTAAACTTGAAATTTCACAACATTGAATGTTTTCACATGCTTGAATATTTAATCAATATTTTTTCTGAAATAAACAAAATCACTTTAGATTACAGAACAGTTCCATAACTGTGTTCAAATTATCTGACGAGATTGATTCTGTAATGAAAAAAAAATTTGGAGAATTCTATATTTAAAAACAAACTGAAATATTTGAGATATTTTACAATTCTTATTCAAAAATGATAAATGAAGTCAAATAAATCAAAACAAACACAGTTCAAAAAGAACATTAACGGCCCTTCAAGCATTAATTTCTCAAACGAAATGATTAAAACAACTGAATTCCGATTTTTTAAAAGAAGATTACTTTAAATCAATCTCAGAATCATTATACTTTTTTTTATTTCGACAGAAACACGAAGAACACAAAGAAATATGCAAAAAGGAATCAAAATATTTTTTTGCCATATACAGACACTAAAAATATGAAAAGAGAATTATCAGTAAATGCAATTGCCATATCAAACTAAATAAGGGTTCTGATTTAAGACCTCTTCAGATTTGATTCTGACTTCAATAAGTTGAGCTTAAAGAAACAGTTTCGAGTACCAAATAAATAATGTAGCTTGAACAACAATTCACAGCTCTGCTATTGAAGTTATTGATTAATGGTTATTTTATTAATTTTTAGATGAATATTAAGATATTGTATTATTCGTTTGTGTTTTGAGAGTAAGAGCTATTAACTTTTCTTTCTAGATCCAGTCTTAATTTTCATCTTTAGTATGAACGAAATTGTAAATTAAGGTGCTTTTTATAGGCTTAGTATATTACTGAGCTACAATACTATTTCCAGAACGTTTTCGGTTTTTAATCTAAGCCTCGATTTCATCAATAGTTAATATTCATCAGTTTACACACTGAAGAAAGCTATTAGAAACATCTATTTTTTCTTTGATTTAAAGGAAACAAAAAATATTATTGCTGTCGCAATTTAGTATTATGTCCATTTGTTTGATTTTATAAATGTTTATGGTATTTTGTATCTGTTGTTGTTGTTTATTTATTTATTTAATGCAATTTGTGTAAAAATTTTTTATTTATTTATTACTTATTTGCTTTGATAATGAATTTGTGGCAATTAATTGTGTTAGATAAGTTTAACTATGCATTACATTTAGAAGTTTTGTTTCTGAATCAATGGAACTTGAAAATGAGAGGATAACACACATAGAAGCGGAGGTAAGGGCACACTATGCGTGACTGGCAACAATTTATATAGCAGAACTTACTTTTTTTTCCAACTCTAGGACATACTGCAAGCTCCTGGAAAATTCTTTTCTAAAGTGTGAAGTGTTGTTAGTTAGAAGTGATGTGTCTGGATGATTTTAAAGACACCTCCTGTCGCCTTATGGCAATTGTATAAATAAAAAGCTTTATACTGCTTTAAGCCATTTGAGTTACGACTTGTGGCCTCTTACAGAGTATTATACTATTCAGCCTGTCACTCAGTGATTACTGAGTCAATTATGCGCTAAAGCAGCAGTAACTAAAAACGTAAATTATGAGTTGATTTTTTAATACTCTTTAACATGAAACTGGAATAAAACATAAATAAATCTTGTAAAGAGGACATATATATTAATAATAATTAGCACGCAAAAACTATTCAGTGTTTTGGGACTGGAAATGAAACGAGGTATTTAAGAATTTTACGTACATAAAAAAATTAAACTGAAATTAGAATTGGTGACAGTGATAATTGGAAATAAAGGAGGATAATTTTAAACGTTATAGAATCCAGTAGATAAACTTCTGTATGAAGACTGGAGTAGCAGGAACTACACAAGAGAAGGGTTTATTAAATCTTTAAAATTTACAATGTGTTAACTCGACGCTAACAAACTTCGCCTCTGCTTGGGCGGTAACTGAAAATCAAATAACAAAACTAGAATTTGAAGATATTAACAAATTATAGAACTAACCTACAGGGCTCAGTGAGATCCAGTAATTTAAACCCCCTTCGAAACGAGTGGCAGCAAATAAATGCAATTAAGCCACGTGAACCCGCAATAAGCAAACATATCTACGGCAGAGGTGGCGGCTAGAGCCTAACTCTCTTTTCTCCTACCGAAACTTGACTCTTAAATACTTTCTTCAAAGAAGAAATTTGAATTCCTTCACGCGCGCTAGAAAATTTAACTATTCTAGCACTGACAATTAGGGGAATGAAGGCTTATAGGAAAGTTTTAAAATTAAGCTTTAACTTGTTATTTAAAATAAATATAAATCCCTACAACGTAATTAAATAAATAAAGACTGATTCAGTTTAGTTCTGTTTCAAAGCGAGCCCAACCTGGAATAAGTCTTTCTTCATTTAAAAAATAAAAGTCTTGGCTATATTTCTCATAGGATCAAATTAGTACAAAACGCAAATTTCAAGTCGAAAACCTTCCAAAGAAAATTAAAAATAATAATTTATGTTTACTGCTTTAAATATACCTGTACCCCCAGCATAGGAAATTTTTTAGTAAAGTACAGCACTCTGTAATTTTTTTAAAATTTTCTTTTATTTTCATTGTATAGCAAATTTAAGAGTAAAAAAATAAAATTCCGTCAGATATTCCAATTTCTAAGCAAGAAATCAATTAATACAGAAACCGAATAAACAATTATAATTAATTTACATTGCACGTGGAATTTGATTTTGCAAATGGTAGTGGTTAAGACGAATCAAAAATAATTTTATTGGTTAATTTCTGATAAGAAAGTATGCTTTATTCTGTGACGGGGAAAAGCATGTTAATCAGAAACTAACAATTTCAAACGCACATTACGTGGCTAACCTAACTGCCTATTTAATGGCTGTATCTACTGTGATTTTCATAAACGAATTTAAGGAACCTCAAACAGATAATAACAAAGGTTTTTGGAAATTCTTCCTAGATGATAGCAAGATGCGACTGGGTCAAACAATGAACCGAGACTATATCAATATGTGCCTTGTGAGCTCCTGATTCTACAATAGGGTTTTTTATGATGTTTTCGCATATTTGTGCAATTAAAATAGCTCAAATTAAAGAGATAGTTGTTTCCCAGAATATGCATGGCAAATATTTCTTCGTGCAATCTATTTATGCTTGCCGTTATGATACTTAGTACATTTATTGACAATGTATTTATATATAGTCATTTGTATATATCGTATTTATATATAGTACATTTATAAAGTATACTTTTTATCAATATATTCTCATTTATTTTGCAGTTGATGATGGTTACGAAAGGGTACTTCAATGCAAACCTGCAATTGCCAGGCTGAGATCATTGTACTTCTTAATTCCTTATTTTGTTGTCTGATGCCTTTAGATCCTGTTTAAGTGAAGAAATGAGTAAAATTATCTTAATTATAAACCTTATTCTTCAATTTTCCATAACATTTACAGCATATGGGGATAATTCTTACATTCGCCGCATCATAAGATCAGCATCAAAATCTTCCAAATATATCTACACTGAAGGTAGACGCTTGACTCCTCAGCAAACTGATGTCGATATTTGCAAAAGGTTTGAAGAAACTTTGACTCCAGTCCAAACTGTATACTTCAAGCGATCTGTAAATAAGAGAAGCTGGATAACCACGACAATAACACCAGACAACGACATAGATTTCTCACGCTTTAGTGAGGAATTTCTGAATTGTTCACACATGATGGTAAATCCAGAATGCTATGAAATATTAGCTAACGGATCAGTTTACGTTCCCGTATACCTCACAATCTTTAACGAAACCGACTATGTTATAGGAAAAACAGGGATTCTCTTCATCTGCCCAGACTTTTTCCCCACTGTCGTTGACAGTACAAAATTTAGTACAGGTTTAGGTGTAGTTACGTTTGTTGGTCTGGCTCTTTCAACAGTTTTCATTATTCTTCATATCATTATGTTTATGTTCCTCAAAAAGTTAAGGAATTTGCCAGGGTACTGCTTGTTGTCTCTTTGTATTGCTTTGCTGATGGGCTATACAGGTAGCTTTTTACAGTATGGCTTCGCCCGTCAAACCGAATGTTCTTGGGTTGGGATGATATGTTTTACTTCATCATTCTTTTGGATGAATGCAATATCTTACAATGTATGGCGATCACTGAGAATGGCAACTTCCAAATTACAACTCACCACTGACAATCCTGTGGGTGTACGTTTTGCTTTATATTCTATCTTCTCTTGGGGAACCCCTTTACTGATATTGCTAATTGCATTTATTGTAGACAGAATAACTGTGAGTCCCGAATATAGACTGATTTTCACAGATGACTGCTGGTTTCAGTATAAGCAGGCTCTGTCTGTATACTTTGCCCTTCCTTTCTTCATTCTTCTATTTTTGAATATTGTGTTTTACATATCAAGCTTCTGTATGATCAACAGTGCCAGTATGAAGACTGACGAAAGCAAATCAGATCAGTGGTTGTATTTCTTAGTATCCATGAGATTGGCTGCTGCTATGGGTCTCATGTGGATCTTTGGTGTGATAGCAATTGCTACCGAAACCACAGTTTGGTGGTATTTTTATGCTATTTGTAATACCCTTCAAGGAGCTTTTATATTTTTTAGTTTTCCTTTTACTGAGAAAACAAGGAAGGAATGTAAGTAGACTATTCAAAAGAAGAAGAGCTCAGTTTTGCCATCTCATACATCTAGGCCGTTCTGATCTTGATGAAAATTTTCTGCATCTGTAAGTTACAAGATTGCGTGTAGACATACAAAGTCAAGATTAAAAAGCACAGTAACTTTTACAAGTCTAATTTTACTTATACAGGGTATCTCAAAACTCCACGTTCAGACATTGAAAGGAAATAAAGAATATCAATGCACTCACTTAGCACACTCACTTAGGAAATTAAACTCCACTTTATCAACAGGGAATAGAAGAAGACATAAAAAGACACTGCAAGAGCAGTATAAAGCGGTTTATTAGGCGGAATTGGATAATACAACAATTGGTAAACGCAGAATACGTTTTCAGAAAGAGATGTTTGAATTTCCGACCATTCACGATGCTTGTCCAACGCCGACACGAAATGAATTCCAGGAAGTTGTGAAAAATATCTGGAATTTTTCGGGTATTAATAGCAGTGATTGCGGTTCTTGCTAGAAGTTCAAATTAGAAGCAAATCAGCGTTCCAGAAATCCAGTGTTTTTAACTCAACATAAAAATAGCATGTTCTCTATAAGAAGTCGCATGTCGCTAGGTTTAATGATAAAGTTTCAGCTGATGTACATTATCACCTATTTCCGATCCTGTGTACTCGTGTGATTCTGGTTAATACTGATTTCCTCTTCCTAACTGTATGTGGAGTTCTGAACACTCAATATATTTAATAATCATTATTAGTGTAACACATTGAATATTTTGCGGTATATGTTTACCATAAGTGGAATCTTGTTGATCTTAGGATTAAACTATGCAAGTGATACAATGAAAAGAAGCATCTATGATCTTTACAATATCAAACGAAATGTGTAAAACGAGGCTTTGTATCACGTAACTCTGTTTTTTTATATAAACTAAATATATATCAACAATAACATCTGCAAACATATGACTTTAAAAGATAAAATTTTATATTTCTCTAATATATTTAAAATTTTTATCGTTTCGTAACGAATTCGTAGTCAGTTTAGTAAACGAAACAGATATTAATGAAAAAGAGGAAAGTTGAAAGCATATTAATGCAAAGCAAGAAACTCACACACACTAAGTTATTGTTAAAATGATCCAATTCTATCAAGTTTAAATAAAATATATATATTAAAAAATTTCTTGTTTGAAAATATTTTGGTTTGTCTACGAGAAAAAATATTTATTTACTTATACAAACTACTGTAATATGTCTTTACATTTTTTTTTTAGAATTTATCTGTCTATCCTTTTTTTAAACGTATTGTGCAAATACACTGTTTCTATTTTTAAATCTCGAGGTCTCTCAAGTTCTTGATAAAAGTATTATTTGTTAAAAAAAGTTCTTGTTAAAAAGAACTTAGCTTGTGATTAAATATTTAATAACTATGTGTAACACTACTGCAATATGTCTTTATATTTTTATAATATTTCATCTCTGTATACTTTTGTTTTATGAATAAAACATGTTTTACATGATGTAAATGCACTACTTATATTTTTACTTCTTGTTTTCATTCTTTAGCTGAATATATTTTTTTATTAGCTTGAAACATGATTTATGGCTATTGATTGATATACTTCGAATGTCTTCTACCGAAAATGCATTGTTTAACTTTTCATCCAAGTCGGTTGCTATTCGGCAGAATGTAAAATATTTATCTTTCAAATTTAATCTGGCTGTTATTGATTAAGAAACTAACATATTTAAAAAGCAATAGATGTAGTTCTTAAGAATATTATTTTTTTTTTACTTTTTAAATCGGGTTTATTTAAATAAAAATGCATTAAAATCGTGATCTATGCAAATAAAGATATTCAGTATTTTTGCAGAATTAATTTATAGCATTTTCTCCTTTAAAACATACAGAATATATAGGACGTTCCCATTGTTAGTCTAAATGTATATTCATCTAATAATCTCTAAATCGTTTCGCTGTTCTACGCGGGCGATCTCCATTGATAATCTCTACTGATAAACCATGTTAAAATTTAAAATATCCCTTTTAGGTGGCTGTTAAAATCTGAAATCATTCAGAATTTTTTCCTCTGTGGCTATGATTTAAGCATATGTTCATTGCTGTTTCTGTTAAATATCACGCTTTTAGTACTAGTTTTAAAATGTACAGAATTAGAATATTTCCTCTTCCTTTGAAAGACTTTTATTTTTGTTTATGAATGAAGTAATTAAGACGCAATGAATTATAATATAATGTTTATTAGGAGTAAACTGCAAAAGCATATTATTACCATAAGCATTATAAGATAATGAAAATTTCAGAAATGGAATTGGCAGGTAGTCTGCATGAACACACATACACGCACTTGAGGTAATAAAACATGTGAGCAGAAGCGAAAAGAGCATTATTATTGCACTTTGTATTAATAGTACTAAGTCCAAAATAATCTTCTATTTCTTCTAAAATAATATATATTTAAGACTTTCACAAAAGCTTTGGAAACTTCTACGTCGTTTAGGTTTTTAATAATATGTATACATTTAGTGTTTTGTGCATAAGACAGTGTAGCTGTCAAGTCTTGATTTCAAAACCTGAGTGGCTACAGCAAAGTTATTACGAAGCCCTCCTTAATAAATGTTAAAATTTAAACTTAGTAAATTTTAAAATTGTAGTTTACTGCGTAATGCATAACATTTACTAACACAGAATACATGTTATCATATCTTTCAAAAACATCTTGAACTGTTCATATCAATTTAATGATAGAGAGTAATTTGACATGTATGTAATAAAAAAATAAACTTAAAGTCCTGACGTAGGAACACAAAAATGCAGAAACGCAGAAAAACTGATGGCGAAGCATGTAAATGGCTTACTGAAGAGGAAGAATTCTGATTGCGTAGAATGCTAAAACGTGAAATCCGTAATAACTAAGAAACTTGGCGGTCGAGGCGGATTAAATTCCATTTTTATTTAAATTGCCATTTGTGGCCACAACTCCTTGGCTCTCTAATTTCCAGAACATTTACATTTTTGATAGACTTTTGCGACAGCACAACAAATTAGCATCCAAGCAGCAACAAAGGTAGAATCTAAGGGGCATATTTATCTGATATGGAAGCTCACTCAGAGGTTTTGTTTAGGTTAGAAAAGTTTCAGTTCTCGAAATTTTAAGTTCCGAGTTAGTCACGTCATCAGCGTTACGCAAGCCATGTGTCATAGATTAATCTAGAAATGGCGCAGTCTAGAAAAATTATTATTATTTTTAGAATAGAGAGAGGGAATAACAAAATTAAAAATTAGGAATTAAAATTCTATAACTAAATTGAAGCTAAGCTGATTTACATATTTTTTATTTTACATAATTCCCCCTTCAAAGAAAAAGGCTTGGCGACAGAAAAACCATTTAGAAGAGGGTATGAAAGCAAACGAAACAAGCGAAATACAATTTTGAGAAAAAAATCTTAAAATTTTGATCTAATTAATTTTTAAAAATAACAAAATCTTGTAAATATCATTAGCAATAAATGCTAATTGAAAATTCTACTGAAATTTTGAAAGCCTGTATGTTCTTTTCTCTGTAAATATGTAATTTCTGTAAATAAGAGCTGTCTTAATATTTTCAAGAAATAACTCTTAAAGCTCACAGTTCTATAAAATATTTGCTTCAATATCATAATCATAATATTTTGAAATCCTTAGCTTGAAAGCATTTCATAAAAATTGTTGCTTTTAATATGAAACCACAATTTTCTTTTACATGTGTAGAGTCATTAGGTATTTCGAAACAGGAGAGATGAAAAATGAGCAACCCCTTCGCCGGGAATGCCTTAAATACTCCCCCTTATAAAGGGTGACTGGGGATTTAGGGAACCCATTCGCCAAATCCTAGGAGAAATACCTTATACATTTTCATGAAATTTGTATTAAAATTAATTATTTAACACTTATAAAAATAATCCACCTTTTCGTATTTGTGAAGCAATGTAAAATGTACTTTAGAAATTAATAACAGATCACTAACAAAGTACAATACAATAACAGAGCAATTTTGATCAAAATGGACAGGTCCTTACAAAGCGAATCAGGGTTGCAACTTGCTGATGGCGGTAAGATCCTTAAATACAACAGAACCTAAAAACCTCCGTTCCTTAATAAAGGTAACTGTCTTCTAGTATTTTATAATTATCAAAGTCTGCACTTTAAATTTATGGCCATAAAATATTTCAAATTAGTAGTTAATTTGGGTATCTCCTCTCTCTATTCTAAAAATAATAATAACTTTTCTGGACTGCGTCATTTCTAGATTAATCTATGTCACACGGGTTGCGTAACGCTGATGACGTGAAAAATTCCGCACCTAAACTCAAAATTACGAGAAATGGAGCTTTTCTAACCTAAACCCAAATATTCTCTTGGTGAGCTTCCATATTGGATTTTAAATGCTCAGCTTCTACCTTTGTTGCCGCTTGGACGCCATTCTGCTGTGCTGCCTTCCTATCGCAACATTCTGCATAAAAAATATAAATGTTCTGTAAATAGGCACGATTAGAATGCCAAGTGAATTGTGGCCACAAATGTCAGTTTAAATAAAAATGGAATTTAATTCGCCTCGATTGCCAAGTTTCTTAATTATTACGGATTTTACATTTTAGCATTCTACGAAATCAGAATTCTTCCTCTTCATTATGCCACCTATGTGTTTCGCCATCAACATTATAACGTCCTTTTCACCTTTTTATTAGTATTTTCATTGAAGAGTAAAGCAATTTTCTCGTGCACTACAAAGTATCACATGACCCTTACAAAATGTAAATAAAGAAAAGCTCATTAACTTTAAATAATACAAAGAAATCAAAGAAAATTCTTTACAGTATTTAAACTAAGAGTCAGCAAGATCATTAATTCAAGGTACGCCGAAGGCAGAGAAATAAATTCATGATATTTCGGTGGTCGGTTAATTGGAATTAACTGACTGAAATTAATTTTAATGTAGACATAATTAAGCAAAGGACAATCAAAACGTAAGTGGAAGAATTTTTGCCGAATGTCGAGATTATAATAGAACAAACAAGAAGACGTCAACTTAAAGCTTTCATGATAAACATTAAAATTCCGATGCCCAGACAAAAATTGCGGAACATTATAGTTGAGCAGTAAGTCCTTATTTTTCAGCCTTTCAGAGATAATAGGAAAAAAAAGCTTTTTGTTTTTTGTTTTTCCCTTATCAGAACTGATATAATTCCTTGTGCAGTTATTTAAGCTTTGAATATTTTTAATGTTTAATTTTGTGATATTTAATCAACATTAATGTTTTTCTGAGTTGCATTCTTGGCAAGCCAGTCAATTCTCTCCTTTTCATATATCCTCACGTTCCCACGACCGAATGTGAAAAACACGGAAATGATTTTTATCTAGTTGATCCTCGAGAGACTTCTGTAGTATATTAACAATAATATCATTACATGACGAGGTATTTTTAGCGATTTCAAAGAAAAGAAAGAATTAGTGGAAATTAAGTAACTGGAAACATGCCTATCCTGACTAAGTATCCATTTAATTATAAAACTAATACATAGAAGTTCAGAAATATATACAGTACTTTCATTCCTATTACGAAACTGGTGATTCTCAATTTTCAACACCATCTTCATAGATGGAACATAAGCAAAACCTACTCTGCCTCCAATTTTACTAGCACACAACACAGAATGAATTTCCATTAATATCCATGCTATCCAAAATTTGTACGGGTTACTAATTCAGAAGTCAAGCAACAAAAATCAGCGTTATATTTTCAAATTTTCACAGGACTCGTTTCGATGGTTTTACCGAACCACCATCCTCAGCTGCAAAAGCGCAAAATTTTGCAAATTAATTTTGAAGAATAACCAAATTATATAATATAAAATGTCATTATACATTTTAAAGAATTTAGACATATATAATGTAGAAATAATTAAGCCAAATTAAAAAAGAATGAGAAAAACACTAAATATAGAATAAACATTAAATAAATTTAGAAAATGTAAAATGTAGACTAAATATAAATATTAAAGATATACTAAAAGTAAATAATAAATGAAATAATATATTAACAATCTTAATTTAATAATCTTTTAACTAATAGTTATGAGAAAATAAGTATTATAATTAATAATAAGAAATTATAATATTTATAAAATGAAATGCAGCAGACAATTCCTTGAAGACACGCAACTCAAACACAAAGAAAATAACAGTCTAAATCTTTATAAGCAAAAGAAATAATTTCCCCGCAGAGAGAAAATTCATCATGCTACGCAATGAGAGGAAATCAAAAGAGTGATATGAAAATTACATGTATTATGCTTTACTGAATGCAACATGCTGAAGAATCGATGAAAAAAATATTTAATTTAAGGCATTGGGAACACACTGTTTTTAAAAAGTCGAACGTTTTTTAAGTTCAAATTGAAATATAAGTATCTTATACTCTGCGGAATGACACGAGTCTGACGTTTCGGAGACAAAAATGTTTTATTTCTAGCAATATTGCCACTTTTCACTTTTAAATCGCAGTTAGTTAATCAAAATTCCTTAAACTCTTATAAAATATGAAATTGGTGGTTCTAAGCGCCAGTATTTTTCTACAAATGAGGAACTTAAATGTATATATGCATACGTAAATACATACATAGTTTTCAGAATTTAGTAATATAGACAATATAGATTCTCCTTTATTTAATAAGAGAAGTTTAGAGATTATTACGATAGTGGTATTCCCATATTTACACAAATACTTTAAATTTCAAGTGTGTGCACCTTCGAATGGTTGTATTCTAAAGTTGAACTCCGCTGAACTACCTTAAATGGGTAGGGAGTTTGGTTTCCTGTAGACAATGGTTCTCAGTATCTAATCCGAAAAGAAAAATGAATTATCTCTTAAAAGCGTGTAAAAATCAAATGATAAATCCCTCCCAAGAAGCTTATTAGCATTGTCACATTTACCAAAAGAAGTGAACTATGGATCTAATTCTAAAGAAAATCATACAAAGATTAAATCAGAATTATTTACGCGTAGCGTTGATTGTTCTTTCCAATTTCACTACATGATAATATTACACGATAAAATTGCTTAGTATTAATACCATTGTTGTGATCCATCCCTCGAAGTACTTCTTTACAAATATGATTAATTATTTTGTTCTGGATCTGGATTGCCATCTCAGACCCAGAGGTCCTGGTTCGAGTCCCGGCGAGGGCATTGCTCAGTTTTCATAGCTTCTGCTTAAAATTACCTAATTACTCTACAATAAAAGTCTAGTAAACAGAAGGTTTTGGTATATTAATAGGCCACAATTAATTGCAAATATTACTTACATTTTACCCTAACCAAAGGTGATATCATAAATGGCTCATTCACAACAAAATGTTTGAAGTTGCTAAAGGTTGTCATGACTGAAGCTTAGGAACAACCCTTATAGGCCAAAACAGAAAAGAAAACCAGTAAAACTGAGATAGGATAGGGGTTGGCACTGATGTGAATTTTATTTCAGTGGGGTATGACTCAGCAAAATAACATGATGTAAGGTCACACTAAAAAAAAAAAAAAATTGTTCGGCAAAATTCAGTTTAATGAAGAAATGCAGGGTTAAAAACTAATAATAATTAATTTTGTTAAAGAAGCCATGCAATAGGATTTTTTTTATATATAAAATGAAGGAGACCAAAATATATACAGAATTTTTTTTTTACAATTTATTTACAGAATATACAGATGTTTGAACCCAACAAAATATATTTTCTTACCTTCCTTAACAGTTTCAGATAAGCTTATCATAACGTGTTAGTTTAAACATTAAATCTGCGACAGATTTTCTAAGAAAAGGATAAATAAATTGTGCTGGTATTATTTGTTTAGAAGTGACTTTATTAAATTTACTATAGTTGTTATGTGCAATTGAGGTACATTTTCCACTTACTTATTTTTATTGAAAACATTTCTGGAAATAAAGTTGGAAATTGCAATAGACTGTTGTAAATTTCTTGTAAGGGAAGAGTAGTATACAAGTTCTCAAAATGATAACAGTTAGTTTCTAGTTCTTTAATAATGGAAATAATAGAAAAGTTATTATTAATGCTCCAACAAAACTTATGTGTTATTTTTTTGCAGAGATAAAAATCAAATCATTAACCTTTTCAAACATTTGGGCAAATAAGAAGTCAAAGTGCATTTTATAACTTTCAGTTCCATTGGAAATATATCTGAATTTAAGTAGTGTTTCGTGAAATCTAGGAAGAGCATAGAGAATAGAAAATTTATTGTTTTCAGTAGGAATTGAAATTCTAAGCTTGTGATGAAAAGCTTTAAGCTTGTTTATAATGGAGATATCTTTTTCGGAAGTTTTTGTTTTTAATTATGCTTGAGCTAAAGTAATGGATTGACTGAGTTCTGTAACTACTAGTTGGCTGTAATACGTTTTTCAAATAATACTAAACTTATCACTTGCCTTATCTATTTTCGTGACAGCAAATGTCTGCAGAGCTTGGATTTTGTGTTTAATTTTGTCTCTATTTAATTGCCTGAAAATTTCATCTTATTCATCTGGACCTTTACTTTGTTAAAACTTCTGCTTTCCGTTATATGAATATAGTAGATTAAGTTCTATATTGTTTTGATAATAAATTCATTGAAGTTTTTTTCAATATTATTATTAAGCCGGTGAAAATTTTTAACGTTGTAGACTGACCTTAGTTCCTAATTTCATGAGTTCTCTTCATGAGTAATCCAGTGGCTTAAAATGTTTTGATATTTAAAATTAAAGAGGTTATTGCTAAATTAAATTATAAAGCCAATTCATATATTTTTATCTCTTAATTACTCATTTTTAATTTGGGTCTCTCTACTCTAAAAACAGTAAAAACGTTTTTGAACAGGGTCATTTCTAGATCAATCTGTGTTACAAGGCTTGCATATGACGTGGGTTGATTCGGATTTGATGACGCGACGCTAATTCGGAAGCTGAACTAAAAATTTCGAAAACTGAAACCTTTCTCGTAATGAGCAACCTAAACCAAAACCATCTTTTGCAAGTTTCCCTGTAGATTTCCTGTTAAGAGGCTATTTCCCTCTGCTGTCTTCTTATCGGAACAGTATCAAAAACGTAAAAGTTCTTGAATGGGCACGATTAGAGTACTAAGTAAATTCTAGCTGCAAATTTCAATTGAAATAAAGTTGAATATGTAATCTTACTCAGCTGCCAAGTTTCTTCTTCAATATTAATCTACGTTCTACGCCATCAAACTTTTTTTGCCATCACATATATGTACCCACTCACTTGCCCGGCTCGGTGAGTTCTGTTCTTCTTTTTTTTTTCTTATGTGTTCGTGTTCTTATGTTCTGGTTAAAGTTTTTATGTCTTTAGTTAATCTGCATGCAATAGTTGTAAAATTATCTAAAATGGAAAAGTGTGGAAGCGCTAGCCCTAACGGGGCGGCTATTTGTTTAACATTTGAAACTCTTAGTAGTAGAGTGAATGAAGTCAGGTGGTGTATCAAATTCAGTGTGTTTTCTTTCAATGTGACCAAAAGTTAACTTTAACTTTTTGTTCACTGACAATTTTGCCTTTCTGCCCTTTGGCCTAATTACATGTTTTTGCATAGAAACTTTAATTTTAATTGTAAAAAAAAATTAACTTTTGTAACTGTTTTTAATGATATTTGGTGTTTTAGGCTTTACGGTATTTTACAACTTTAAAGAAGATGTTTCGAATTTTCATGAATTTTTGCCTTGCGACGAAGTGAGGACTAAATTGTTTGAATGTAAAATATCTCTCCAATGAAATAAGTTTAAATGAAATGCAGCCAAAAATATGTATAATTTAATAGGTTGTACAAAGAAGTCACGTGGTGTACAAATCAGATTTTTTATCATTGCATTTAGATATATTTGTATTGCCATTGCTTAATTTTATATATGTCCGTAATAAAAACAAAAATTTAATTTACTATCTTACCGTTCTAAAAATTTACTATTATTATTGTTTGTTAGATATCTTTTTTTTTTTTTTTTTTTTTTCAAAATGAATATTTGAATTTTAAAAATGAATATTTTAGATTTTTATTAATTCATTTAAATATGTTTCCATTTTCATCGCTTAATTTTATATATATTCGTAATAATAACAAATGTCAGCATAAATGAAAAAGAATTTCCATCATAAGCTGTTCTACTTTATATGAAAGATAATTATCTTCATAAACTAATGTATGTAGTCTTTTATTAGCATACATTAGTGATATAGGAGATGACAACAGCTGATTTTTATTTATATTTACTTCCTTGTACGAGGTAAAGGATGTATTGTAATCGCAAAAAATTAAGGCTATCATATATCATCTGAAATATCCATTTTGATCATTCCCGAATCCATTCAGACGGTTTTTTATTCTTGAAGTCTGTACGTACGGATAAAATAAAGGACCCGTTTTTCCAAAAGAGATTATAAAATGGATTCAAAAAGGATTTTTTCGTGACGACTGTACGTACGTACGTATGCATGCATGTATGTGAGTATGTATATATATGCATCGCTCACAACTGCGTAACTCAAAACAGATTAGCTGCAGAACGCTGAAATTTTGCATATGGGACGGCTATAACATTTATATATGCACTTCTCTTTTTATTGCAGTAGGCAGTACCAAACATATACTTATAAAATATTAATTTTTTTAATTATTAGAAATTCATATATGAAAGTTAAAAAAATATATAAATCAGCTTTTTAATTCAATTTAGCAATAGGCATTTACTAAATCGTGGAACAACTGCTATTGTTAGTGGTAATAGATGTTCGGGGTAATGATTTCCGCATGCTCAATAACTTTAAATTAGGTGAAATTTAATAGAAAATTCATCTTTTCATTATAATGTGTTAGCAAAATAAATATAATTCTCCTAATGCTTTGCTTCATTATATAGCAACTTTAACAAAGTATTACGAATTGTGACTCTTTATATTCCTCAAATTAAATCATTTAAAGATAAAGAAATGAAGTTCATTAACTTAATACGAAAACTGTTCTTAACTGAATTTATATCTTTTCTTATAACTGAAAGTTCCAGAAACGGGAACTGGGTAAACCTCTATGATTTTACTCCATTTGAAAACTTGAGTTAAAGTTCTGCAGACCCTTCTAGACAGATAGCGAGTTATCGCTACATCTTAAAAAACACACAAAAACAAGTTTAAATAAACATTTTAATTTATTTTTAAGTTGAATTTAAAGGCAGACAAAATGTCACCATTTGTGGTAATTTAATAAGAACAAACAATTAACTTCAAACGTTCACAATGTAGTCTAACTCTACACATTAAACAAAATAAGAATAAGCCGGCTCAGATATTTTACCGGCGCGTATTTAAAATAAGTCTAATGAGAATGCTAAGCCAGAATATCACTTCGATGTCCCGCGCGTTGACTTCTTTAAGCGTGTCTCGGGATATTTCAGTAAATTACGGAGATTTAAACTTTACTCTTTAATAATAGTAGGAAGAGTAAGACTCTGTTGATTTGTTTTTACGATCCTTCCTGTAAAAATAACTGACTAAATGGCCCTAAAACATAAAACATTTGTTTCTATAGCCTACAGGAAAAGGTTATATAGCGTATTGAAATTATTAATAAAATACACCGAAATAAACACCATTTTAATGGTAAGTGCTATATTTCATCAGAAAAAGTAGCAAGTACAATATATATTGCCAAAAAACATTAAAATATGATTTTTTTCCAAAAGAAAGTGCTTTATTCATCGTCGCAGACTAATATTATACTAAGCAAACTGATAAGAAAGCAGTTAAATAGAATTTTAAATTAATACATTTACGTTATATTAATTGCAACCTCATATTTATCAGTATTATATTACTTTATGAGAATCTACGTCTTTACTTTTTAAGTATAATATTAAAAGGTCTGGATAAGGATTGTCTTAAACTATTTTTCTTTACAAAAGTTCTTAAACTATTTTTCTTAATTTACGTATATGAAAATCCCCATATGAACTAAGCTGAATATTTAGAATGCACGTATCTTTGAATAAGACACGATTATTTTTTTCAACATTTAATTTTTTTTTGACATCTTCAAAATTTTGCGAAACATGTTTGTTATCAACTAGATGAGATTGCTAGAAGCTCTCTGCTTAAATACAAACGAAGCTATTTTGCATTTTTCTGAGGAATACAGAAAGGAGAATTTAAAGTGAAGGCTTAAGTCATAATAAATGATTAATTAGCATAACATAATTTAAAAATCTATTGATAAGAAAAATGTAGTACCAAATATACCACGAAGTGTTTGTAGAATCGCGAGTTCTCAGGTGTGATATCATTCCACTCTGCTCATTCGTTTACTTTTGAGATAAAAAATAAACACGTAACAAACCTGAAAACTTTATCTCTCTTTCAAATGGTATATCCAATTAATGCCATCTATAATGCAATTCAATGTTGTAATTTATAATATGTTTAATAAATAATGCAATTTAATGTTGTAATTTATAATGTGTTTAATAAATAATGTAAATAAATGTTTGCACCAATAGCGTAAAAGATGTTTTTTTTTTTTTTTTTTTTTTTTTTTTTTACGTTTTTCACTAATAGCATGAAAGATAACACTATACATGGCACATTTCGATGTAAAATAATTGCCTGTGATAGCGAAACAACGAATCTGATATAATTTTAAAGAAGTGATAAAACTAAATAAGCAGTTTCTGTGTATGTTTATCTTGTCTCGGGGTGACTCTGTTTCTGTAGGGTGAAAGTGAAGAATTCTATCCATGGCACTTTCAGTCTTTCGTATTGTTTAAAAGTCCTAATATAAATTTAGTATACTCTAGAAGATTTTGAAGACTTCTCTGCCCCATTGGTTATTTTATTGTAATTAATTTATTTTTAATTTGTCATTTTTACTCTTAATTAGATACTGTTTTCTGTAAAACTGTATCCTATGACTGGTTCAATTTAATGGACATGATATGCAGCTTAGGGTTACAATGGCTGACAGACGCAACTTTGATCCAGAAATAAACTCTTGACGTTTGTCTTTCATGTGGGACAGTATGCTGTAAATGTTCGTGACCGATCTGACCAGATTATAGGATTTATTAGATATTTCGTAATATTTAACCTATTGTAAAAATGGAAAACTTTTAATGAGCTTAAAAATGTAGAGAATATTTCTGGAAATACGCTTAATGATTGAAAACATACCAACAATAAGTTACAGAATATGCTAATTTATTTTTCTTCATTAATTTATATTTTGGACCCTAAAAATTCTGTTGTTATATTAAAAGTTTTAATTGAAACTATCAGTTTTTTTTATCGAGACATCCTTTAGTAAAATGTTAAAAATAATTCTTTAATGTTTGTGGTCGTTACGCTCAGGAAATTTCATGTTGCCATGGCAGTGTTACCAGTATAAAATCCGACGTTCTATAGTATACCTAGGCATCTTATAGAATGCCGAAAACTGGCTTGCCATGTATGAAACGATAAAACACTTCCCACATTACCCAGATATTCTATAGAATGCCAAATGACAATCCGGCAAAATATGAAATAAATCGCCACATTATATAAATTGCCTACGGAAAGTAATGATAATTCGAGCAATATATTGGCAGGTGTAATGAGTGACACAGAGGATAATTTGTATTTAATTGGAGCTTCTGAAAGAATTTTAAAACAACTATATACGAGATCATATCAGTTCATTTTATGTTGAAGAATTGAAGACATTCCTGACCTCGAAATTTCTCTCAAGTACGTTTCAGTTGCTATGTCCAGTTGAAATGCCTAAGGATTCACAAGTGTAATGTGTAAAACAAAGTCCCAAAATATGGAATGTCTGTGTGTGAAAAAAATGATGAAAGGCTTTCAAAATGTCATTCAAGCTTATCATGTGGCAACAAATAGGTTAATTTTTAATTCCTTAATTTTTATATAAAAATTTTGTTTTCCTTAATTACAGAGGCATTCATTTTGTCTCGTACAAGTTTCATTTTTCTTTGTGTATTTTTAATAAAAACAATTTAAGGACACTCATTCGTTATTTTTTCAAAATAACATTTGTATTTTCGAGAAATGAATATCTTTTGAATAATAGCCTTATCATTACCATTATCTTTTTTTCATTATTTGCCTAAAGAGCATTTGTCAGTCAAAATGCCTAGGAATTATATAGAATGTCTAGATAAAGTATGTAATAATTCTCATATTTTGATGTTTTGATTAAATGTCCCAGGCATTCTATAAAATGCCTATGTACTCCATAGAAAGACTGCGTTTCATACTTTGCCGAAAACATAATTTGCGGGGGCAGAATTTCATTATACAAGTAAAATCTCTCTTAAATCAATAGGATCTCACCAATTTCCGATAAGAGATTATTTCGCATAATTGAATATATTCCCAGAACATGCCTGTTCATGTTTTATGATGCCTAGTGTAGAAAATGCAGCCTGTAAAGTCTGTTAGTTGTATTTTTAGATCTGTTGGTCAGTTTTGAATAATTAGTATCAATAATCGTATACATTATTTAAAATTAATAAAAACTAAACACATTTTAAAATATACGTATATATTATATATAAATATATCATAAAATATATATCATTCATATATATTATACATATATATCATTTCGCTACGAAATCAAATTTCGTAGAGTGATGACATATAACTTTGACAGTCTCTCTGCTTATGAGACAGTCACCGTAGCTTTAAATATTTGCTGTGTATATTATGAAGCTTCATAACATAAAGTACTGGCATAGATGAACCTTGTTCGGCTAATCTTATGTTACAATATTTCGTCAACTTCCCTCGTAACTCCTGTTTTGGCAATGTGATCATCTTCATTTCCTCCCTCTTCCTCATCTTTTTCCTTTCCTGGTACACTTCCGATTATTTCACATTGACAGAGTGTGGCGGAAAGAAATTTATTATATTCATCCAAGCCTGCATTTCCTCTTCACTAACACTAATCTTCTTCGAACAAGTACCTAAATCCAAAATATTGATCACGGGCCCCGGATGTGTTTTAAAACCAAGACAATCTTCGTCATTCTCATCTCTGAATGTGATCATAGGCTACGATTTATACTAACACAAACGCTCTTTACATCTTTAATGTTCTTTACATCTTTCCAAGCAAGCGCTAAAATTGGGGCCTGTCAGTTTTACTGCTTCGGAAAATCATGCACACTACTTTCTGAGTTCACACATCATATCACGAAAAAGGATTAGTAGTTCATCTTTATATTCTGGATAATTTATTGGATAAGGCTTGCTACGTTGGGCAGGAGAAGTCTAACACAAATGTTTTCCACATCTATGTCTTCCGATCATTAGTCCATTATGTACTGTATTTTTCTTTTAGCCCTAACTTTTGGGTGGATTTAAGTTCAGGCCTTCAAATGTACCATTATTTTGATATTGGCAGTTAGATGTCTGCCGGTTATGAGGGATGTTACTGTACCAATCACAATTAATTCTTATGGAAATAGACTAAAATATTTGCTGTAGGTTGCGGCAATAAAAAAGACAACCCAAAATATAGAGCTATTTGTTTCCCAGAATGCATCTGGTACTCATTTGTTTCATATTATAAGGTATTTCTCCCACTTCCCTAGCGTGCCTTTATGGTGTAACGGTAGCAAGCTGGGCCGGTATCCAGAGTCCGTGGTTCGATTCCCGACGAAGGTGGTTGTTAATTTATCATCTCTCCAGCTTAATAGCTTACTTAATGTCTCTACAATATAATCTATGTATATTTACATTTTGATGAATCATTTCATAATTTATTGATAAATTATGAATTTTATTTAATAATACCTTCATTTTTGCAGGTTTTAATGGTTAAGGACGGATAATTCGCTGCCCTTCCACACAGCTTTCTGATATACTGTGCTTCTGCAAGTTCTATATTTTGTTAATTGACGATTTAGTTTCTGATTAAGTGTAAAAATGAATAATAATTTCATAATAGCATACTCAAACATTCAGCTCTTCACTGAAGTTGCAGCCAAGAAGGATAATGGCTTCATTCATCGCATCATCAGATTCTTCTGAATGTAAAAATATTGAAAGTTTCAGAACTCAACAATTAGAAATAAAGCATTGCAGAAAGATTGAGTCAATAAATCATTGAGAAAAATATCACCCGCCAGCGACCTAGATCTCTTACGCTTCAGTGAGGAATTCTTGAATTGTACACATACCATGATCAAGCCTGACTGTTATGAATTATTAGCTAACGGATGTTTACTTTCCTTTATACTATTTCATAAACTTAAACATTACTGACTATTTAATTATAGTAAATGGAATACTCTTCATATACTCACTATATTCTGATGAAAATTAAAAATGTTTTAGCTGTCAAAAGTTATGTCTCAAAAGTTCTGTCAAAAGTCTTACTAATAATATTAAGAATTTTCTAACAGTGAAGAACTAGTTACCCCAACCTCTGATATTTTAAAATTGTCTATAGGCCAAGAAATAATTACACCAACTTTTAACAGTTTTAAATTTTCAGGCAATCAAGAAATAGTTACATCTACCATCGAGAGCTTAAAATTATTCAGCGGTCAAGAAATAATCATTCCTATCTTTGACAGTTTACAATTTTAAAAGCGATCACGAAATAATTTCATGCATTGGTTTTGCTATTTTAGTAGTTTTCATTCTTCTTCATATCATTATGTTCACATTCCTAAAAAAAATTAAGGAATTTACCGGGGTACTGTTTCTTATCCCTTTGCATTGCTTTGCTGATGGCCTATGGAGGCAGCTTTATCCAATATGGTTTGGCTGACTGATCCGAGTGTTCTGTTGTTGAGATGACGGTGTTTAACTTTTATCTAGCATCGTTCTCTTGGATGGATGTTATATCCTATAATGTGTGGCGACCATTAAGAAAGGCACACCATCTAAATTACGATTTATGATTAACAAATCAAAGGAAGTATGTTTTGCTTTATATTTCATCTTTTGTTGGGGAATCTCTCTACTGATTATGCTAATTGCATTTACTGAAGTCAGAACAAGTGACAATACAGACTGATTTTCTTGATTGAAGTGCAGTGCGAAGACTGTAAAAATAAGCCAGATCTCTGGTTTTGTTTTTTAGGCCAATGAGACAGACTGTTGTTATGGATTTTATGCGACTTTTCCTTGAATTTGCATTTGCTACACAGATTATGTGATACTGTTACGCGATCTGCAGAATTCTGGAAGAGGCTTTTTAAATTTTATCTTTATTACGAAAACAAGGAAGGCCTATGAAAAGGCTGCTCGCAAGAATGATCTTTGCGTTAATGTGAGTCGTAGTGTCTATACAGTATTGATTTCTATAAAAGGTTTAGTAATTGAAAAATAATTAAATACCAGTGTTACTTTGCATATGGATTTAGTAATCTCTGCTAGATTGATACAAGGGAAACCGTGAAAAGATTTAGCACTTACGTTTACTGTAAGTGAGATACGAGATTCACTCTGAAATTTTCTTAATAGAGCTAAATGGCAAATGTTAAATTTACCAAATCTTAGGTGTGTTCAATGTAATCTTCTGCAACATAAATGAACTTTGTATGCGAATTTTTCAAAGATTAAATATCCATTTCTTTAATTGGGGGAAAAATATGCTTTTATAATTTCATCAGTCTCCTCGTCGAAATGAAAACGATGATTACGTAAATTTTGCTTTAGATAACAAAACAGCCAAAGATCTACATAACAATATCATTCACATAGGGTGAATGTTCACTCACTGATGAATTTTGTTCAAGAAATTCAGTTGTCAGTGTTGCTGAAAGAGAAGGTGCATTATCATGAGCCACTTCTTGAAAGATTTCTGGAAGATAGTGGTGGATCATTTAAGTGTAACTATTTTCTATCCCTCTAACTTGATGGCTCTGACCAGTCATTTACTTCTGAAGAAACGGCATACATTACGTTTTTCATTGCTCGTTGTATTTCACAATTGTATGTTAGGTGCCATCTTCAAAGACACATACTTCATTTTCTTGATGAGTTGGAAAGTCAAAAACAGTGTATATATTTTATCATCAGGTTAGGATTTTAGAAAAATGTGTTATGTCGCGAATTTTAATTATATTACTATTTGTTTTAAGTTATCATTATTCTACTATTTCTTTTGTTTGTACCCATGTGTATTCTAATCTGGTAAAAGTGTTTTCTTAAGTTGTTAGGGCTTTACTAAGCTCGTTATTCTTGAGACTGTAGTGTAAACATACAAGAAACGGTTGCAAGAGCCACCTGGTTTATGGCCTTTTACTGACAGTGGAAACAGTTAGGGTGTTGTGTTGTCACTTTCTTTGCTGATGGCCTTTTTACTAATGGCGTTGAAACGTAAATCGTCTTTCTCATACTCACTGCTTTCGCTATGTTATAGTTGCAATTTTGCTTACTTAAAGACAGTAAGCAGTGGGTTGTTGTAAGCTTAGGTAATGTATTTTTCTTATCGCTTAGTTTCTGCTTGTTAGCTGGGGGTTCATCTTACTTCCCACGTTAAGAGTACAGATGGTCAGGACAGCATTGTCCGGATTGCCTTGTTTTTGATTCGTTGTGGGGGTGTAATTTTCTCAGTTTAGATAAAGTAAAATTCTGGGATTGACGTGATTTAATTTAATGTAATTTTGTAAGCCTATGAACTTACGGAGACGGAGAGACCGAGATTTCCTGGGAGGCTGCACCATGTTAGAATTATTTTTCGAGCTAAAAGGAATAGGAGAAAAAGAGTGGGGGCTTGACCCCTTGCGAGTCATGCTCTCTCGAGCGACGTGAACCAGCGGGCTGTCATTATGGTTGTCGCGGATTCTGATTTAAGTGAATTTTGAGCACCCGCGATGTGAAAGAGAAAGAAAGATCGAGGGGCGTTTTGCCCTACTGCGGGCTTCCTGAGCAAGAGGGCTTGAGTTGCGTTTTTTCCCTTTGCTCTAGTGGATGCATTCTTCCCTGCGAGATGTTTAAAAGTTTTGTGTGAGGAAACATTTTTCCGAAACATTCAGCATAAAATGTTGATTCTCCGCTTCGATGATGCAAGTGATCGTGCTAAAAACTGGTGTATGTTCAGCTACCTGCTATTGAATTGAAATAAAGATCCTTCTAAATTGGACTATTGATTCCCATCTAATAACAGATAAAGCGATTCCTGGCTGTTTGAAGAATTATTAGACTGTAGTTTCCACTCGTGACTCCTAATAATTTTAGACGCTTCTGAAAGGGTTGTGACAGAAGGAAAAATGGGCTTGGCTCATATCCCTGTGGACTGGACACTAGGGATCCTGCTACCAGGAAAAACTGTCTTCCATCTGTGAGTGAAATTTTTTTAAGATTATTTTCTCTCTTAGTTTTCCCAATGCCATGGTGGAACAGTTACTAATGATTTATCTACCTGCATATATTATCATTACTTATATAAATTAAATATAGCTAGTTAGTAATATTGAGAAGTGATTTATAATTTCAAGTTAAGGCCAGTTTTAGAAGGATTAAAATTTGTTTCACCTATTGAATTTGTGAGTTAGAAAAATGTTAATTTCTAATTAATGAGAACCATTTATTTGGAGAATTAAAAATATGTTACACCTTCTTAATTTGTGAAAAAAAAATTTGTTAATTATTGAAAGCTGTAATTTTGTGTGACATTATGTGTTACTTTTCATAGTAAAATATGTGGTAGGATTACTGATTAGTTATCCAATATTTAGTAATATAATATTATTCTAGAAATCAATAAATGTGTATGTTTAAAATTTAATTGCATTTTATTTTTAGCTTGTGTGTATATTTTTGGGGTGGTTTGTCATGTCTGTGTTTGAGCCGGGAGGCGTTTAAGAAACATGGAGCTTTTATTGAATTTGGATTATTGATTTTCCCTAGAAGGCTTCACAACGCACCCTGTTGTACTAACTCATTACCACTATACGATATGACTTATGACGAATGTGATTTTTTTTTTTTAGTTAGTTTTGCCTGGAACCATGTGTTAAATTGAGTCAAAGTTAAAAGTATTAAGAGTTTAAAACCCCTAAACACCTATAAAAGTAAAAAACACCTATAATTTTCAGTTATTTAACAAATGCGGTGTACACCATTAAGTAATTTTAGGGTTTCTTTACGTTCCGTGTTTTCATAGTCTGTTAATGTATGCGGGACTCAACAACAAACTGATTTTTTCATAGGGAATCCTTCGTGAATACTTTTATGTATAGCTGCGAATCAGATGATATGTGCCTCTGTATCATTTGTCAGATACAGCGATTATCACTGATGAAAATATTTTAGTATCCTCGACACATTTTCTGGAACAGCAGCTGTCAAAGGACATCCTGTATATTTTTCATCAGGGAGAAAATTTTGATCTCTACGAAATTTTGCAAACCATCTAAATACAGTGGCACGTGATGGAGCTTCATTTTCGTTTAATAAATGGAGACGTTAAAGACACGCACTTTCATTTAGGTGCACTTACAAATCATAGAAAATTATAGGGCAATAATGGTCGCGTCATCGCAGATTGCAGATATTGCCACAAATTGTGGTCTGCCGACATAAAAGATTTCAAATTTACATATCTAAGAAATAATTGTTTTTAGCATCTGTTGTCGGCCCTTGTCTGAATAATTTCAGGGATACCTAGGTGTTGTTGGTTTATTTTGAGGTTGGAAGAAAAATCAAGGATGCTCCAGACCTTCCAATTGCTAACAGGATGTGCTTCCAATTATACCAATGAGATAACCCGTGACAAAAATGAAAACATCTTACAAACTTAAAGTTTATTAGCACAAGGTGTGCTGTTAGTCTTTAGCCTCACGTTTTTGCCTATATCACTTCTCGAATAAAAGGATGCAGTCACCGTTATCGCCGTGTATTATTTTTAAAGACATAATGTAGCGAAAATCAAAAAATATATACCAACACTAAAAAATATACACTGGTGTGCAAAAATTAAGAACGAGACGGTTTTTTCAATATCACTTTGTACAAAAGCTTTCCAAATCAACACATTTAATACCGTAAGATCCCCAATACGTAAGGACATGAGTAATGTAAGCAACACTTACTAGAAGAGAAATCAGAGGGATAAAAAGAAGCTTTATTGAAAAAGTAGCATGGAGCGCAATGCGACTGAAGGCCGAAACATCCCTGTGATGGGTGTCCAGCAAGAAACATCCGGTCTTTAATAGGGGATATGATCTCCCCTGACTGCTAGGCAGGTTTCACAGCGTCTGCCCATGCTGAGAATGAGGGTGTCAATGAGTTGTTGAGGCATTGCTGCCCATTCGTCTTGCAGCGCCAATCGAAGCTCCAGAATCGTTACTGGTGGTAAGGTACGAGCTGCCAAGCGTCTGCCTAGAAACTCCCATACATTCTCGATGGGATTGAGATCCGGAGATCGTGCCGGCCAATCCATACGTTCAATATCCTCACTCTCTAAGAGCTGTTCGGCAGCTACTGTACGATGACATGGTGCATTGTCGTCCATGAAAAGGAACTGCGGACCCATAGCGCCTCTAAAAAGACTCACATATGGAAGAAGAATCTCGTTACAATAACGGGTCCCGTTGACTGAACCTGCGTCGAAGATGTGAAGGTCTGTACGACTACCAAGCATGATGCCTCGCCCAAATGAGAACACCGCCACCTCCATACCTGTCCCTTTCAATGATGTTCGAGGGATGATTGCGGCTTCCCCGCTCTCTCCAGATGAGTATGCGATGAGAATCGCTACTCAGACTGAATCTGCTCATCTGTAAAGAGTACTCCTCCCCATTCATTGTCTCTCCAATTCCGGTGTTCCCGGCACCACAGAGAATGCCTTCTCCAATGGGCAGGCGTTAGAGGTACACACCGTACAGAGCGTCGTGCAAACAGACCACCACCGTGCAGTCTTCTGGCCACGGTAAAACGCGATATCGGTCGTCCAGTCGCCTGTTTCGTGTGTCTAGCGATTTCTCCCGCTGTCTGCCGCCTGTTTCTTCTGGCCTGTAAGGCAATATACCGGTCATCTGCGGGTTTGGTTCCTCGTGGACGACCACTACTAAACCCCGAATAGCTGTTCCTGTAGTTTGAAATTGTCTACAAAGTCGTGAAACGATGCTGTGAGCAATTCCGAACTCTGCAGCCACACTTGTCACACTGCGGCCTTCCTCCAACTTCCCAATGATTCGACCTCGGGTAAAAGCATCCAGATGTCGTCTAACAGATTGATTATTCGCCATTTCTCGTTGAGGCAGCAACTCGGTGTGATTTTAAGTGCTATACGGCGTGCAATCTCTTTGCCAGAAATACTGATCTTACACCGACAACATGCTTTATACTACTCAGACACTCCCCCATTACGTCTACCTGCATATCTGCGCTTGTGCTACCGTACATCACCTTACTTAATCTCCTGATTGGTCTTTCTGTCCGCTCTGCCTCTCTGTTCAGCTGACATACTAATTTTTTGACTTAATTTTTGCACACCAGTGTATTTTGAAAATGGTATGATGTTCTTAATATTTTGTGATTTTGCTGTTGAACTTTACGTAGCGAAAGTATCAAGAAAGGAATAGTTAAAAAGACAAAATTGTTTTGTGAGCAAGAAAGAATACATGAGCAGATTGATAAACAGCGAGTTTAGCCAGAGCATAAAAAACGTTAACAAACCCTCTTGTGCGACGCTAAAATCTGAATTTTAAAATCTGGACTTTCTTTTCCTTTTTTCTTTTTTTTTTAAATTATTTCTACGCATATAATGAGAATGTGCATTATTCTTTTTACTTTTTAAATATAAGGTATTTAAACGTTTCCTTTTTAGACTAAAGCTTCATTTTATATTAAATTTAGTATGAACCAACTTATTAATAATTTTATTATAATGCTGGTATCTTACTGTGATATAATACAATCTCCAAAACACTTCGGGTTTTCAGTCTTATTACAGATCGGATCAGTAATTAATAAATTTATTAATTTACTTACTGTTTTCTTTACTACAGCTGATAATAAAAATAAATACACCATTATATTTTGTTTTGAAAATATGTGCTATGTATGTGTGTGTTTTAAATAAATAATATAATAATCAATCGCTGTTTCATTATACTTTTCTGACCTTATTCATAGCAGTTAGTTTATTTAATAGTAATAAGAGAATTCGTTTGTACGATACGGTATGCGAAATGTAATTCATAAATGCACATAGGTATCGCAAAACGTAAGAGGGCTATTGAACTTCTGGTAGTATTTTTTGTTTTTTCAAGTGACCTATACTGCCGACCAATTTACTCTACAAAATAAATAAAATATCGTGAATTTCTTGCGAAACTTTTCAGTTCAAAATTGGATCAAATACAAGTAGTGATGTCAATTTCAGTAGTCCTTGGCTGAAGAATTTGAAATTAATACAAGCAAATGCCTACTGAACATTACGAAACAAATGCGAAATAAAATGCAAATAACAGCTTTCAGATATTCAGCATTATATGAGCGCTAGCAACTCACTGGTCTTCCTCAGTTGCGATACCTATGTGTTCTTAAGAATTATGCTTACAGGAATATTGAAGGTGTGTGAGGGAATAGGTTTTGAAGGGAGAAGGCAAGGGTATTCTAAAATTATAATAATTTTATAATAAGGATTACGGAAAAAAAAATGGTTAAGAGGCACTGGCATAGAAAATGTAGCAGAATGAATTGCTTTTATAAGCAAATCTCGCTGCTGCAGTTTTCAGCTTTGTTGTTGGCAATAAGTGGAAAGCTTCAGGATTGCAGGAATGAAACAATGACATGCTTTTCAATAGTTCTTATGTAAGAATTATAAGTATTCCCATTCCTTGCGTACCTTCGTGGTGTAGTGGTTCTGTATGCTGGGCCGGTATTCCAAAGGTCCGTGGTTTGATTCCCGGCGAAGGCGGTTGCTTATTTTTCTTCTCTCCGGCTTTTCCAGTTAACCTAATGTCTCTGCAGAATATGGTATATTTATGAACTATTTTTCCAACGATATTATATTGAGTTGACACGTAATAAACAAACAACAAAAATAAGACAGGAAAACAAAGCTAAGCAAATATTGTAACCAGTCTTGGAAACAGTAACTCACCAGACGCATGCGTCATCACCTTGTGTCGCGCCATGTTGTTATAATGACTATAGTATTCTCCACTCCGTCTATTTACAAAAGATGTAGATTTTAAAACAGAGCTGGAAAATTATTTAAAAACTAGCTGAGAAGAACAGGTGTTAGTTAACATTATATAACTGCTGGAGTATGTTTATAGTTTTAGAATTTTTCTCAGTATATATATATATTTAATTTATAAAACACTCACGTTTCATTTTGTATATATACTCTATTTCTGTTTTTAATTCGTATGGCTAGTTTTTCAATAAAATGTATTTACTTTTGTCTCTGACTGTGATTTAAACTTAAGCGTTTAATGTATTTTCTTGTTAAATGTCACATTTTAATACTAAGGCTCTAAATTATTTCAAGCTGCATTTTTATTACTATACATTAAAAACAGTGGAAAATCTGAATACCTTTTTTGACACTTTAAAGTTCTAGTATTTCAAACAATAAGTTACCAATGCAGGCTTTTTTAGAAACCATAAGCGCCCCATACGTGTATTAGGGGTAGAGGAAATGCAAGAATATTACTACAGTAAGCTTTACCATTTAATAAAGTGTTCAAGGCTGGAATGACCAGACAGCTAAAAATAAATACACGCCCTTATAGAGCTCATAACAGGTGCGCAGAAGACAAAAGAATATTTATCATTATATATTTTTACGGGTTGAAATAAAAAATAACAACACCCTTCCTCGATGATTAAACCGTTACTTAACTTACTCTGCCTTGATATGCCTTCACTAAATTGACTAACTTTAAAATGTACTTCAAAATATATAGCATAATTCACCACTGTAAGAAATAAAACCATACTGTTTTACATTTTGATTCAAGACGTTTTATACTTTTTACACTTAGACTTTACTTATTTGAAATTTTAGGCATTTACTACATTTAGACCATTGGTAGTTCATAGACCTACCAATAGATGTTAGATCTGTGAGTTAAATATCTGAATAGAAGAGAACTGGTTGTTTTCCCTGGTTTCTGATAAAAAAATATAGCATAAATGCAAAGCCAGGTTTCTTTAAAAAGTCCTCCACTAAAACATCTTCATCGTGTTTTTTACAACAATTAATTCAAAGGAACGTGGTCTAGTTATAAGTAACACAAACACCTAGATGACATATCTTGTTTAATACATCATGAAATTACACTTTTAACATAACCTGAGATTCTGCCTAGAGATCATAAACCGTTTCAACCCTAACGGTTTAGTTAATAGGTCTTCAAGCATTTCTTCAAATGGGAGATATATAAGATCGTAATACTTATCCTTCACAAAATATCTTTTTTCTATATGTTTGGTACGCCCTTGTCTCTGTCTTTCTTTAACATTTTGATACAGTTTTGATTGTCCTTTGAAATAAAGCAAACAGTTTTTTGTCATCGTGGAAATCCTACAAAACTCTTGAAACATTCTTTTCTTCTTTTTCTAGACTTCTTTTCTTCGGTAAGAGTTTTAAATTTTATATCAGTTGATGCGGCCCAAGCGGGATAGTGATTAGCGACGCCGTACCGAAAGGCCCGGAGTCGAATTCCAAAGACAGCAAAGATATTTGTAAATATAGTATTTTTGCCGCATGGGGACACTCCAAATATGCTGGAAACCTTCTCCAGATGTTAATGGTTGGGGAAGAGACGTGAAAGATCTTCGGGACCGTGCCCCCTGAGGTGCACTGCTTCAAAATTGGGGGCGGAACTGAGCGAAGTCATACTGTTACGTGTATAGTGCCCATGGTTCTTGCCAACGACAGACGCCACCTTGCCACAACAAATTTCGTGCGCTTCTCTGATACCGGACAAGCGAGATTAATCACAACAATAACAACATATCAGTTATAAGAAGAATTCTGAAAGT